TTGGGTAATGTTAATAACTGTAGCAATATTGCACAACAGTAACTTACCGCGTAGTAGTATTGGCCATCAAAAATCAAAATTTATGATCGAAACTGTCGCAGTGGCGACATCGATGAGACTACAGTAATGTTCTAAATCATAAAATATTTAAATGTAACTTACTAGTAGTCGGTGACAATAGCTCTCTTTGGTATGTCACATTTCGCGAATGCTCCGTTGCCTGCCTTTCCAGCAGGGCTTTCACCTTGACCTCGCTCAGTCCTAGCGTTCTTGTGAGGTCCTCCTTCAGCTCCGTCATGATTTCGCCGCAGGCCCCGATGACCACTGGAACGAACTCAACCGGCATCCTGTATGTTGCCATAAGGTCACCGACGAGGTTCAGCCCCGGTGGGTATGGTGTCGACGTTTCATCCGGCACCTCATCCGAGTTGATGGTATATCGGTTAATCTTGATGTCTCTCTGTTTTCGGAGCCCTTGCGCGTGGGCAACCGATACTTCGAAGATCAAGATCTTCCCTTGCTCCTTANATCAAGATCTTCCCTTGCTCCTTATCGAAGACCACTAGGTCTGGTTTTTGATGTTGCATTGGAGCTCGGGTTTGAGTCTCCTACAGCGTCGTTCTCCATTACTGGTGGCACTTGATTTGAATAGTGCACCGGTTTGAAGCCGTATCGGCAGCATAGGAGGTAGTGAAGGTTTCTTGCCACCGAGTCGTGCCTCGCTACGTAGAGGGTCGGTAGCCATTGCGGGCAGGCTGATGTTATGTGCTCCGCCGTTTCGGGTGCCTTTTTACAGCACCGGCAGTAACGAGGCTGCTGGCTTGGCCCTCTGTTAGTAGCCGCACATGCTCTAGTGAGCAAGCTTCCTTCCTGGACTGCAAGCGCGTCCCTAAGGTTCCTGGCACTAATGCAGCCCTTTTTCAGCCATAGACTGGATAGGGTCACATCAATGTCTGGGTTGGTGAGCAACCTCCCTGCGGATCCCAGGCCCTGCCAGGTCTGGATACGCGCTTCGGTTCTCGCCTTCGACACCTTACGCACAAGGTATCGGTGCAACGCCGTCGGGCCATTGAAGACTAGGCCGTCCACAGTGACCGTCCTTTGTCGCACGTCCTCCTGTGCCTGGATGCCGAATTCCCTGA